GTGGTGGAACAAGAGTATGAATGAAGCAGTATGAATTAGCTAAATTCATTTTCTAAAAAGTCTTTCTCTTCACATTGTGAAGTGTGATCATGAAAAGATACCTTGAATATCCCTATTTTCTCCAGATTTAAATACTTCCTACCTCCCTAGAATTTTCATGAGAATTTGTTCATTTCTTTACTGAATCCCAGACTACATTCTGTCTTGTATTATTGCAGGGATGCTCGTATATCTGTATGTGTGTGTCATCTCCATTAGACTATAAACTCCTGAGGGCAGAAACTTTATCTCTGTATTTCTTCCATGTTGTCTAACACATTTTCTTTCACACAGTAAGGGCTTAATAAGTATTTACTAAAAAAACAAATTCACCAAAAGAATTGACTTGTATTTGGCCCTTTTATAAAGAGTATCTAACAAATGGGCACTATGAATTTCCATGCAGTGTTTGCAATAGTTTTGTATTATAATTTTCCTGCAGCATAGTTATCATAAATTATTCTAGGGATGTAAAGAGCAGAAAGCAATGTAGAAACAGCTTATGTAAAATATCTTATTTGTTTTTTTAAAAAATTAATAACCAGCAGACAACAAGAATTATTTAATTTGGCCACTCTGATAGTTTTTACTTCTCTTTCCAAGGCTCTGCAGATTGAGTTGTTTCTTCCCAAAAGAGAATGCCAGTGTAGAGCAAACCTCAAAGCGATTCCTGCTTACATATGGGATTTGCTGACAAATGGCAAGACTCTGCTTTTGAAGCAAGGAAAATTTGTGAGCTGAGGGATAATGGAGATGGGCTGAATTTCTTTGACTGAAATACACAACTTCCATTGCCTCTTCCTTTTGGCAAGTATCAGAATGCCTGTTCGGTGTCTGCAGGACTGCTTAGAGGGGTTGCTGTTTGTTGATACGAGTCAGTTCCAACTCATAGGGACCCTACATAGGGTTTCCAACGAGCAGCTGGTGAGCTTGAACACTTCCAAGCCTGTGGTTCAAACCAACCTTGAAGTCCAGCACATTAACCCACAGCACTATACCAGGACTCGGGGACAGTATATGTGAAGGTCTGTGGCCGGAGAACAGGTTCAAGGCCTGTGGTGAGAGCCAAGTCTGGAGAGAGAACTGGGCAAGACTCTTGTCTGAATGGTAATGTGACTCAGGTCACAGTTTGGATTTTTATCATGAGGTAGATGGGAAGACACTCAAAACACACTCAAGAGCTATTATGATTCATTTTTATAATTATATTTACCAATAGTTCAATAACTGAGCTAAGGAGCTCTCCCCACAATAATTTCCATCTGTACCCTTAAGGAAATGGACATTTGAAACATGTGCTTATTATATTACCACAGTAGATAAATAAAAATGAAAATTGCTAATACTTACATGTGTCAGGTAATACTCTCTAAGTAATTTTTTTTTTTTTTTAATGTGTTGACTCATTTACTCTTCACAAGGAGGAAAGGGAACTTAATGCCATACCGCTAGTAAATAGTGGTACTGGGACTGGAACCTACACAGTCTGGTTTCAGAAGCCATGCTTGGAATCACACATTGGACTGCTTTTCATGATCACCCCAGGCCCCACTTTCAAACCACTTGCTGCTCCTATGCCCCTTTGATATAGAAATCCGGCGTCCCCACTGATTGTAGGAGTGTGAAGTGTGGACTGGAGTGGCCCAGAATGGAGATGAGGAAACTGTTAGAGAAGAGTTGCAAAAGTGCTGGAGAGAGGTGATCTTCACCAAAAGGCAGTAGAGACAAAAAGACAGAAAGAGAGTTGAGAGACATTAAGGAGATAATCAAGAATACTTATTGATTCAGGCACCAGAGAAAATACAAGTTGAACACTTAGCAGTGAGCATGGTACATGATATTTTTAATATACCAAAATACTGACATATTTATTGTCAGTTCAATTATTCTCCATGAAGGCATGGTTTTAATAATAAACTTATAGCTAATAGCTACAAATAAACTTTACTTACAGTTAAAAGTAATATATGAATGGATTATGCCACATTCATTTTTTGACTTAATGGATTATACCACTACATTGTGGGATAAGCACTGGACAGCAACATCAGTCTGAACAACAAGGTTGGCAGTTCAAACCCAGCAGTCGCTTCTCAGAAACCCTATTATACAGGGTCACTTTGAGTTGGAACTGACTCGACAGCATTTAACAACAACAAAGCAACCCTTTATGGCAGGTAAAGCAGGAATTAACTCTTATTCTCATTTTACAAACATAAAAGCAAGTCTCAGAGAAGTAAACTAATTTACCCAAGGTAAGTGAAATCCTGGGTCACAAATGCAAGTCTGCTTCATAGCGCAGCAGTCAAATCGCCAGGGGGTGTCTCCTCCTATCTCACGTTCTTCATATGCTTGGACCAGGAAAAACTAACGCTGCACTGAAGTGTGTACAGAAGGGTGTGTGAATTTCCTAGGGCTGTTAGGACAAACTATCATAAATTTATGGCTCATATGAACAGAATTTTACTGTCTCACAGTTCTAAAGACCACGGTGGTTAAGTGCCATCAAGTCATAGCAACCCTGTATAGGGTTTCTGAGGAACAGTTGGTGAGTCTGAACCACTGACCTTATAGTTCAAACTAACCTTGCAGCCCAGTGCTTATCCTAAAGTGTCACACTAGGGCTCCATGATCTGGAGGTTAGAAGTCTCAAATAAGGCTGTTGGCAGTGTTGGTCCCTTTTGAGTGCTCTGAAAATCTGTTCTCTCTTCTAGCTTTTGTGACAGCTGGTGGCTCTGGACATTCCTTGGCTTGTAGTTGCAGTATCACTCCAATTTCACCTCCTTTACACAACTTCTTCCCACTGTGTCTCTGTGCCTCTCCTCTTCCTTTTATAAGGACATTACTCACATAGGATTAGGACCCACCCTAATCCAGTATGACCTCATCATAGTAACTGAGAACAGCTTCAAAGACCCTTTTCCAAACAAGGTCACATTCACAGTCCAGGGGTTAGGACTTCAACATCTCTTTTAGAGGGACACAATCCAATTCATAACAGAGAGGGAGGGAAGGGCTAAATGTGGTCTCTTCTTGGAATCAAGTTAGCAAGTACTCTGTTGTTGTTAGAAGTCCTTGGGGAGTAAAAACAGTTTACACACTTGGCTGCTAACTGAAAGTTTGGCCATTCGATTCCACCCATAAATAAGTACCTTGAAAGAAAGGCCTGTGATCTATTTCTGAGAAATAAGCCAGTAAAAATCCAATGGAGTCGCTGCATAATACTGCTAGCAGCTTCCTCCTCCTTTGCTCTGGCCCAGTAGTAAGACCTTGTGTTGAGCTGCAATGATTCACCTTTGGAGAACCAAGTAGAAGCTGGAAATGGTTGTCACTGCTGGGGGAAAATGGTTGAAGCTGATTGCCCTGGAAATCTCTTCATTGGAGGGCTCAGTACAGAAACAAATGAGAAAACCCTGGAAGCAGTATTTGACCAATAGGGATGAATTGTCGAAGTGCTCTTGATGAAAGACAGTGACAAATCAAATCAAGAGGATTTGCTTTTGTCACCTTTGAAAGCCCAGCAGATGGCAAAGACACAGCCAGAGATATGAATGGAAAGTCTTTGGATGGGAAAGCTATCAAGGTAGAACAAGCCACTAAACCAACATTTGAAAGTGGCAGGCATGGACCTACTCCACCTCCAAGAAGCTGAAGCCCACCAAGAGGCCTTAGAAGTGGAAAAGGAGGCAGTAGAGGAACCAGGGGACCCCCCCCTCACATGGGGGACACATGGATGATGGTGGCTATACCATGAATTTTAATATGAATTCTTCCAGGGGAAGGGGACTACTTCCAGTAAAAAGAGGACCACCACCACAAAGTAGTGGTTCTCCTCCTAAAAAATCAGCCCCTTCAGGACCAGTTTATAGTAGCAGTGGAATGGAAGGCACAACCCCTGTATCCCATAGAAGAGCTTGTTATGGAGAACCCTCTCATAGAGGTATGTATCTGTCACCAAGAGATGAAGGATATTCTACTAAAGACAGCTGGTCAAGCAGAGATTACCCAAATTCTTGTGATACAAGTGGTTAGGCACCACCACCAAGAGATTATACTTATCGTGGTAATGGTCATTCCAGCTCACGTGATGACTATGCATCCAGAGGCTATAGTGATAGAGATGGCTATGGTAGTGATCGTGACTATTGAGACCATCCAAGTGGAGGCTCCTACAGAGATTCCTCTGAGAGCTATGGTAACTCATGTAGTGCTCCACCTACACGAGGGCCCACCATCTTATGTAGGAAGCAGTCGCTATGATGATTACAGCAGCTCACATGACAGATATAATGGAAGTTGAGACAGTTACTCAAGCTGCTGAAGTGATCTCTACTCAAGTGGTTGTAATCAGGTTGGCAGACAAGAAAGAGGGCTTCCCCCTTCTATGGAAAGGGCGTACTCTCCTCTATGTGATTCCTACAGCAGTTCAAGCTGCAGAGGAAGCCCATCTGATAGAGGGGGAGGCAGAAGCAGATGCTAAAAACAAACAAAACTTTGGATCAAAATTCCCTTTCAAAAAAAGACAAACAAAAAGTAGAATGTATTCTGTCATAACTACCCAAGGACTCTTAAAAGGAAAAACTGTTACTTTAAAAAAACATTTCCTGTTAAGTACTCCTCCACAATTTTTATGTTCTTGTGAGGAAAAAGTAAAACCTGTTTAATTTTATTTGATTTTATGATATTGTTTTCAACAAGCAAATGTTCAATGTGTAAGACTTGACTTGTGTACTAGTGTTGTAATTCTCTGAAGTGTCCCTGAAGGCCACTTCCTATTTGGTTCTTCCCAGTAAAAGAGGCAGCAATACGAATATCTTCCATAAACATCTAGCCATCTAAAATGAAGAGATGACTCATTCTGTCTATATAAATCAGCTAGATATTAGAAGGGTGACTGTGTTTGCTCCTCTTAAGATTTCAAACTGAAATCTCAGCGTCTCCGTGTGCAAAACCTGAAACAGATGCGTGAGTAAGGAAGGTGCTATTCACCTAGTAAACCCAAAATGAAAGACTAATGCTGGCCATATATGGCCTTTCTGACATTTCCTTGGGATTCTTCAAGAGCCTCCTCTTTCCCCCTCCCTCCATTAAGACCATTTAAGTGTGTGATAAACATCTACAGAATACTAATTTAAAAGTTTGACCAAAACCAACCATGAAGCTGCAAAAAACAAAAACAAAAACAAAACTCGGAGCACAGTCCTACTGTGACTTGTAAGCTAACACTGAGTGGAAATTGACTCCATGACAACACGTTGGTTCTATTGTTAAAAGCTCTGTTTTCTTCCTCTCTGGCTTGCCCTCCAGGGAAGCTGTTAAACTCAAATTTTATCTGTTGCTTCTCTCTGGTGTGAACCAACAGGAGCTGGGTACAAAGAGACCATTCAAGGCACAAAGTAAAGTACACACGTGCTTCCTTTTTCTCTATATAGCATCATTCTTTGCCTCCCTGTGCCTTTCTTTTGTCCTGCCTATTGAGAAACCTCAGTGTGGGTGTGGGGAGTGTGTGAATTTCCAGCAACGAGACTGCGTGGTTGAAGACGCCTATCTGATGATGTATGCACCAGGGCAGGCATAATGGACAGTCTGCTCTGTCTAAGCCACTTGCAGCAGCTACAGCTGGTACCCTTCATAGACCATGAGTCTCTTAGGCAGTCAGAAGTCATATGCTCCATCTGTGAGATACCACACTTGAAATACAGAGTAAGGAGACAGATCTAATCCTTGTTCTGCTTCTGTATAACTTTGGGGAAGTAACTAAACCTCCCAGTGTCGATTCCTTTCCTGTAAAGTTGTTGTTAAGTGTCCTCAAGTCAGTTCCGACTCACAGTGGCTCTGTACAGGGTTTCTGAGGAGTGGCTGATGAGTTTGAACTGCTGACCTTGTGGTTCAAATCGACCTTGCAGCCCAGCGCATTAACCTGCAGCATCATTCCTGTAAAGTAGAGATGATAAATCTGTTTACCTCATCAAGTTACTAAAAAGACAAATGACACAGTCCATATACGATGCTTAGAACAGTCAGTATCCTAACACTAGTAAAATCAAGCAATTACTTATTTACTTCTCCTATTCCTCCAATGTCATTTGTTAATTAAAATCTCTTAGGATACTTATCAAAATGTTATCAGTGGTGGTTGTTGTTGTTGTTGGTGTGTTGTGGAGTTAGTTCTGACTCATAGTGACCCCTATAGGGTTTCCGAGGCTGTAAATCTTTTTTTGTTGTTGTTAGGTGTCATCGAGTCGATACCGACCCATAGCGACCTTATGCACAGCAGAACGAAACACTGCCTGATCCTGGGCCAACCTCACTATTGTTGTCACGCTTGAGCCCATTGATGCTGCCACTTGGCCAATCCATCTCGTTGGGGGTCTTCCTCTTTTTCTCTGACCCTCCACCTTACCAAACATGATATCCTTCTCCAGTGACTGGTCCCTCCTGACAATATGTCCAAAGTATGAGAGATGAAGTTTGGCCATCTTGGTCTCTAAGAAGCACTCTGGCTGCACTTCTTCCAACACAGTTGTGTTGGTTCTTTTGGCAGCCCATGGCACTTTTCCCGTAAAAATTTGTAAATCTTTATGGGAGCAGAAAACCTCATCTTTCTCCTACAGAACAGCTGGTAGTTTCGAACTGCTGACCTTGAGGTTAGCAGCCAGACTTGTAACCACTACTCTCCCAGAGTTCCTTTCTCAGTGGTTGTGACTGGGTAATGGAATTACAGGTGTTTTTGTTGTCCTATTTCTGTTTCTCTGCATTTTCTAAATGTCCTATGATAAACATGTTGTTGTTGTTGTTGTTAAGTGCCGTTGAGTCGGTTCCGACCCATAGTGACCCTGTACAGGGTTTCCGAGGGTGTAAATCTTTCTAAAGTAGAAAGCCTCATCTTTATCCCGCGGAACGGCTGGAAGTTTCGAACCGCTGACCTTAAGGTTCACAGCCCGATTCGTAACCACTATGCTACCAGAGCTCCTTAGTACTTTTTAAATAGGAGAAACCAGGCTCCCACTGAGAACCTCTCAGGTGCAGTAGACCAGGTGTGAGTGAGTCTAAAATGAAGAACTGACCATGGTCTTTAGTACAGTTCAAGGCCTAATGAGGAAGACAGGACTGATAGACAAGGGATACAAGAAGATAAACAATAATGCTCAGGTGAATTGAATATAGAACCAGTCCCCCTGCACCCAAGTGGCCCCTGGCATTACAGAGATGACATCACAAGTCTTGCCCTACTACTGTTTGTACAGTGTTCCCTGATCTGGAGATAGGAAAGTAAAGCAACACACATCAGGTAGAAGGGGCTACTCATTTAATCTATCTCAGCACCCCAGAGGTATGGGGTTGGAAGAACTGAGACTCCTTTCTAAGGCACCTATATCTGGGTACGGGCTTATTATAGTAAAGAAAACTGTGAGATATATATGTAAACCAAAAACTAAACTCACTGCCAGTGAATTGAATCTGATTCACAGTGACCTGATAGGACAGAGCAGAGCTGCTTCTTGGAGTTTCAGAGACTGTAAATCTTTATGGGAGCAGACAAGTTCATTTTTTTCTCACGGAGTGGCTGGTGGGTTGGAACTACTGACCTTGTAGTTAGCAGCCTAACACCAAACCCATTGCATCACCAGGGCTTCTTATACCTTATGTAGCACTTCTTACATGCAACAGATATTAATCCAGGATCTAAAGCAACATGTCAGATGGAATAAAGAAATAAGTTCTTGTTTCTCTCTCTTTCCACAGCATTGTTAGCATCATAATTATTCTGGCTGGAGCGATTGCACTCATCATTGGTTTTGGTATTTCAGGTATGTGATTTCTTGCATCACCATGATCCCTTTACCCTTTATCACTATTCCTCCCAATTCCTCAGTGTGTTGGTAACTTCCTGCCATCAAGATGGTTTCCATTCATAGCAACCCTACATAGGGTTACCAAAGAGCAAAGAGTTTGAAGCTAGAAAACTTTAGATTCTTCCACTTGTTATTCCTTCATTGATTCTTCCACTTTCTGTGTTCTCTTCATATTACCCATTGATCTCTCTGGGCCTCAGTTTCCTTATTTAGAGAGTAGGGAAACAATACCCATGTTATCAAAGTGTTCTGTAGACTAGTCATCGCTGAAGATGTCATTCTGGAATGATGTGGGAAATTTCAGGGCTGAGCCATTCTATTAATGGCTTGCCAGGGTTAGTGATTTCTTAGCAATGAAGCTGTATATGATGTCTTTAAAATATCATCTGTGTACACAGGGGTCTTATGTAGAAAGAAAACTGGTCACGGTTACTGTATCATGTAAGAAACAGGCGCCATCATGGCATGAATGGTTCATTTCTAATGCAGCTAACTGATGTCACTTGTAGGAGTAGTCTTCTCTTTCAGCTGTGTAGGCCATTTCGCTCAAACATCCATTCCAGATGCCACTTTCATTAAGACATGAGTCGGGCCAGCAGCTGTCTTCTTTGAAACAAACTGCTTGCTCTATTTCTATTAAACTGCATGACTCAGGCCAACACATTCATTTTAACATAGTCTGTGGCCACAGCTGTCACTTCATAACTGTAGTTTTTAATAGTTTCAGAACTCAAGAAGCTACTTTTTTTCCCTGGAACTACTGTCCAGTGTGAATGTGCTATCACTAAATGGTGGCCATAGGCATAAAGAAAGACAAGGAGCTGAAAGTGTGTTTGCCTAGAAGAGATAGTAGCATCCTTCCCCTGTCTTGTTTAATCATAATAAATACGTATTTTATATTTTATTCATTTTTCTACTCATTATCTGTCTATTCCTTTTTGATTTGTGGTGTTCTCTTTATGGATGTGTTATATATGTTGCAAAGTATCTTCTACTCTCTGGTTTGTCTTTTTATCCTCCTAGTGATATCTATAAATAAGTTCTTAATTTTCATATAGTCTAGTTTATCATTCTTTCTCTTCATACTTGGCACTTTTTGTAACTTGTTCTAAGTTATCTTCTAGAAGGTTTATTCTTTTTTCTTTTTCTTTTTTTTTAGATGCTTTATTCTTTTCACATTTATATCTACAAACCATTTAGAAATAATTTTATACATGGTGTAAAATAGGGGTCAAGATTTACTTTTTTCCTTGTGGCTATCTAGTTGACCCAGCATCATTTATTGAAAAGACTTTCCTTCCCTACTTTTCTCCATTGCCATCCTTGTCATAAATCATGTATCCATGTGTGTGTGGAACTGTTTCTAAGCTCACCAGTCTTTCTATTCCAATATTCTTTTAGAATTAATTTTCTCTTTATGTTATTTTATCTTTTCTTTTTCTTAATCTTTCCTATTCCTAATCTTGGGCCTTCTGTCTCTCTTAAAACAAGTTTACAAAGTGTCAGTAGCTTCCCAGAAGTTTTCAAACAACCAATTTTGGGGTTTATTTTTAGTTTCTTTGATTTGCTTTCCTGTTTCATTAATTCTGGCTTTTATCCTTATTAATGCTTCTCTTCTTGTTTTGTTTTACTAGCTTTTAATTATTTCCCTAGTATTTTAAAACAAGTACTTCACAAAAGAGTATGTCCAAAAAAGCTAATAAATAGCTTTTAGTAGATACTGCTGTTCTGCTTTCCAAAGTGATTTACCAATTTACCCTTCACCAGAAGTATATGAGAAATCCAGTGCTCCATATCCTTACCAACACTGGATGGTATCATAGAATCTTGCTGTAGTTTTAATGTGTGTTTCCTAATGAATGAGGACACGGAGTATGTTTTCATATGGGAAACAAAATGCTGAGTGAAGAAGCCAGACACGAAAAAGGTCATTAATGTATGATACCATTTTTATAAAGTTCAAAAAAGGGCAAATTTGAAAGCCAAATAATGGTTCTTGTCTTTGAGGAAAGTAGGGGGTAGCGATCAGGAGTGGGTATGAAGAGACATCTGGGGGTGGTGAAGTTCTATTTCTTGGTATGAGTAGTGGTTACATGGAATGAATTTGTGATAATTCTTCAAGCTGTACAGTTATGGGTGCATCCTTTGTAGGCAAGTTATACTTAAATACAAATGTGTGTGTCTAAAAAAATGAAAGATCCATATATAAAAGCAATCCTATGTAAACATTTATGCACATAAGTATGTTTTTTCTTTATAAGGAAATTAACCAATATTACCTGGTAAAGTAACTATTTTGGAATAACTTTGAAAGAAATTTATGCTAAGCTATATTTTGGTACCTTCTTCATTAATGCTTATCTCTTCCTTAACTAGTTAATATTTATCTTATTCATGATCATATATATCATAGCACTTTGAATTTAAAAACTCATGTTTATCCTTCACTCTAAATCTAGGTGACTAAGTCATTTTGTGCTAAGTGACTTGGCATCAAAGCCCTATGGAGTTCTTTAGCTTTGGGTTGTTAGTGATTTGGGCTACCCTTGTAAGAACTGAAGCATGTGAGTTATGATATTATAGAAGAGTACTGAAAGTACCATGAACTGGCAGAAGAATAAATACATTAGTCTTGGAAAATGTACAGCCAGAATGCCCCTTAGAAGCAAAGGATCGAGAGACTTTGTCTCTCATACGTCACACATGTTATCAGGAGGGACCATTCCCTGGAGGATAGCATGCTTGGTAAAGTGGAAGGTCAGCAAAAAAGAGGAAGGCCTTCAATGAGATGGATTGACACTGTAGCAACAGCAATAGACTCAAGAGCAACAATTGTGAGGATGGTATAGGACCTGGCACTGTTTCCTTTTGCTTTCCTTATGAGTTGCTATGAGTCGGAATTGATTTGACAACACCTAACAACAATGAGTAAGAATGTTCACTGTCACAGCTTCCCTGTAACCTCAATACATTTGCTACTTATACCTTTTCCTGTTCCATAGCTGAGAAGATCTCAAGTACATAGCTCAATTTATTGAATATAGAGAGTGCTCCTTAATTGCTTTATGAATGGACAAATAAATGAATAAATACATGGAAGAGTGAATAAATAGACAAAAGACTGTCTATTTACTCAGTAATATACTACCAATAATATTAAAAACCCACCACAACTGATGAAAAGGTTTTCTGACTCTTCCTATTTTCCAGAGTTGTTGTTGTTGTTGTCAGGTGCCATCGAGTTGGAACTGACTCATAGCGACCCCATGCACAGCAGCATGAAACAATATCCGATCCTGGGCCAACCTCACTACCGCTGCCACACTTTACGCCATCAATGATGCCACCTGGCTGATCCATCTCATTAGGGGGTATTCTAGATAAAATGGGTTGTTTCTTAATATAATGTCAGTTGGATTTTTTCAATTGATTATAAAAGGACTATAACCCTTATCCGAGAGGATCATATTATCACATTTTAAATAAATTCAATTGGAAATAAATTCAATATCTACATGTCTATTGTCAACGGTTTTTTAACAAGGTTGCTAAGTCCATTTGATAGGGAAAGAAAAGTATCTTCAATAAACAGTGTGGAGAAACTTGGATTCTATACGCAGAAAAATGAAACAGGATCCATGCCTGACACCAGACACAAAAACAAATTCAAAATGGATTAAGTACCTAAATGTGCTAAGTTTTTGTTGTTAGCTGCTGCTGTCAAGTTGGTTCCAACTTATAGCAACCCTATGCACAACAGAACAAAACATCTTCACAACTGTTGATACTCTGGAGCCCATGGCTGCTGCTACTGTGCCAATCCATCCTTTTCAATGACCCTCCACTTTAACCAGCATGATGTCTTTTTCCAGGGACTGTGAAAAATAGAACCATAAAATTCTCCAAAGAAAATGCAGGGACAATACTGCATTTTAATAGCAAAAGTCAAAACAGATAAACAGGACCTCATAACAATTTTTAAATTTTGATCATCAAAAGACTATCAAAAAAAAGTGAAAAGGCCATCTGCCAAAATATCTTTGGACACTATAAGAATTCAATATGCAAAACATATATAAAACTCTTACAACTTAACAAAAAGAGAAATAATCCACTCATACAATGGGCAATGGATGCAGATAGTCAAAATTCACCAAACAGGATATTCAAATGGCTACCAAACAATGCCTATTTTAGTTATCTAGTGCTGCAGTAAGAGAAATACCACAAGTGGATGGCTGTAACCACCAGAAATTTATTCTCTCTCAGTTTTGGAGGCTAGACGTGTAAATTCAGAGTGCTGGCTTTGGGGAAAGGTCCTTGTCTCCTTCCAACATCTGTAGGCCCAACCTTCCTGGGAGATCTCCATACATCTTGTCACTGATTTCCCCCTTACATCTGGGGCTTCAACCCAGCAATTCCAGAGAGCAGAGACTCAAACAGAAAACTTGTACACCAGTATTCATTGTAACACTATTCACATTAGCCAAAAGATGGAAGCAATCTGAATTCCCATCAACAGATGAATGAATAAACAAAATGTGATACATACAAATGGAATACTATTCAGCCAATAGAAGAAAGGAATTCTTGATACACACTACACTCTGGATGGACTTTGAAGACATTATGCCAACTAAAGTAAATCAATCACAAAAGGACAAATAAAGACAAAAAGGGGCAAATGTAGAGAGACCAAAGGTTATTAGTGGGTACCAGGAGCAAGTGAAAGGGAGAAAGGAAGGTTACTGTTTTGGAGTACTGAAGTTCAGTTTATAAGGAAACAAAAATCTCATTGATTAAGAGTAGGATTGAGCAACAAATTACTTTAAGCATTGTCAATAAGTTGTACATCTATAAAAACTTGAATTGGCAAAAGTTGTGAGATAAAAGAATAGCTGCCATAGCTGCTTAGTTGGTTATGTGCCGTGGAGTCAGTTCTGACTCATAGCGAC